GTTTAGGGTTTAGGGGTTACAGGGCTTAGGGCTTCGGGGGCTTTGGGCTTGTGCCTCGGAGGCTTGGGTATGATGTCTTAGAGATAAGGGCTTAGGGCTCAAGAATCTCTCGAAGTAGCCGAATTGGGTTCACGGATTGGAAGGTGCAGGCTCAAGGGTTATGGTGCCGCTCTTCGGGATCAAGGTGTGCACAATCATAAGGAATGCATGGAGATGGGGGAGGGGCGCAGAAACTATGCGTGTGCATGCGCTTATGCACTAAAAGGCGCAAACCCGGCTAAACCCAATAGAAACCTCACCGAACCCGGTCGCAGCACCGCTATGAAACCCTAAACCCTAAACCCNNCCCTAAACCCTAAACCCAATAGAAACCGGCCATATAACCTCTATGAAACCCGTTTGAAACGGAAACACCAAACCCGAAACTCCGAATTCCATGCAGCCGGGCCACGGAACTTCGAAGACAGGGCCCAGGATGTGCCCTGAGATGTAACATATGGGGGATTCCAACAATAAGGGTCCCGAATATAGTGCCCTAAATTCCTAAATAGTAGGATCCTTATTACANNCGAATTTTCGGAAACTCCCATATGCGTATCCAACGATGACTGATTCTATTTCGGAGTCAAGACCATGCTTCAGCAATGTTTGGGTTTCATATGGTGAGTAGGATTGCTAGTATTAAGACGTATTAAGTCTCTGGCTACGGGTTCTACGCATGATCGAGGTTTGTCGCTTTGCGGCCTCAGTGCTGTTAGGATTCTTGATGTTTTAATGCTGCTGGCTAGTGTCCAAGGAAGCCGCATCAACAAGGACATGACTATGACAAGCATCATGTTCCTGAGGGTTAAACGTGTCGTCATCGTCATCATCATCACCATNNCATCATCATCGCCATCACCATCACCATCATCACCATCACCATCACCATTACCATTACCATCATCATCATCATCATCACCATCATCATCATCATGATGACGTACATTGCGTCTGCTGCTCCCTGCTGCTGCTGCTTCTGCTGCAGGTGCTGCTGGTGCTGCTGGCGTTGCTGTTGCTGCTGTCGTGCTCAATCTGACGTTGGTGCGGGTCTTTGGCCCGGTGCTCTTATACGAATATGTATATCTATGTGTGCTTGTTTCACATGATTTCTCATGCCGTACCGCAATGCTCCCAACGGTTGCTATGTATTCCTTCAAGTCGAACTATATGTTTACAACAACTGAGTTGTTGCTCTACTAACCATACATCTGAGGCACTACCACTTCTTCTACTGCCTCTGCCACTTGCAGTTTACAGGTATGTCAAGTTCTGTGCTACAGCCTATGCTCACAAGGAACAGGTTCAGAAGTGCTTGAGCGGAAGACTTTTTAATTTCAGCACAGTCAGCCGGACGGGTGGGCTTTGCTCAGGGCTCCTGCAAGGGACTCCTCCAAATCTTCTACTAGGCTAGGGTTAGGGTTTAGAGCTTAGGGCTCCGATTCTTCTACTCGGCGAGGCTGGATTTAAGGTTCAAGCCCTACTATAGGGGCCTTAACAATTAGAACAGGGTTTCGGGGTATATTCTGCTATAGTTATAAGGAACTCCCAAACAAGTATTGGTAAGCATTTAGGTTTCTGCATTAATTCGAGGGCAGAGCCTTGGGAGAGACCCCGGAGTCTACATCTACATGGCCTAAACCCTAAACCCTAAACCCTAAACCCTAAACCACATCTACATGGCCCCGGGCACAGGGGCGCATGCACGGGCCCAGGTGCTAGAGTATACCCATGGGCTCCATCGTAGTTCCTTTTTGTGGTTGGTATTTAGGATGCGATAAGGTAATCCCCAAAAGGAACTACAATGCAGCCTATGGGTATAGGATATAATGCATGGGTAAATGGAAAAAACGAACAGATCACAGCTCATACCGAAACTTCAGAAGCAACGGGCCAAGACGTGGGCTAAGGATCCGCATGCAATGCACTGACATTCGCGAAAACCAGCCCCAAAGCCTTAAAACCCCAAGACCTAAAACCCTAAACCTTAAACCCCTAAACCCCTTTTATAGACCCCTAAACCCTAAACCCCTAAAGCCTCGACAGCCCGCGACCCGAGAGCCTCCTTGCAGCCACGGTGCCGATGGCGTGGGATGCACCCATTTTGGGTCCAGACTGACACGCCTGCGGTTTAGGGTTTAGGGTTTAGGGTTTAGGGTTTAGGGTTAGGATTAGGTGGACCCTTGAGGATATAGAACCTCTCAACAAGGTCCCCTTTTAAGAGAGAACAACAAACCCTAAACACTAAACCGTTTAAGAGAGCCATTAGTAGGGTTAAGAAGGGTCCCCCTTTTACTGGGTCTCCCTGCTACTGCTCAGGACCTGCACACGCCCAGTGAGGCCAGGGCTTGAGGTTTCCGAGTTCCGCACTTTTTTTGTTGCAGAGTTTAGGGTTGAGGGATTTAGGGTTTAGGGTTGAGGATTGAGGGTTTAGGGTTACAGAGTTTCGGAGTTGGGATACGGGGTCTGAGGTTTCGAGGTTGATGTTTCGGATCGAGGCTGACACGCCTGCGAGGCTGAAGAAAGCGGGTTCCAAGGAAACCGGATCTGCCGTACCAAAACGGTACTATGTACCTAATACAGGGGCCTTGATAATTAGAATAGCGTTTGGGCTTTTTTTATACTACAGTTGTAATAAGAATTTTTTCAGAGTAGTATGGGTAATTATTGAGGCTTCTATATTTCTTTATGGAATGTAGGGTTTCTCTATGTTACTACTACGTATGAATTAGGGAAGTTTGCCTCCCAGAACAGTACTTATAGGACCCTTTGCCGTAGCGTTCAGGGCGTAGCATTGACGGTCTATAAGCTCTAAGGTCTCAGGGAATGCGGGTTGCGAGGCTTTCAAAAGGGATTCGAGGATTTCCCGACATTAATCCTACTGAACATGTAGGAGTCTGAAACAAACACCTCAAAGGAAGGGGAGTTGTCTATGTATTCAGGGGTTCAAGCCAGATAAGGGTGTAGCTTTTAGGTTTGTGGACTTGTACTTAGCCTTAAACAGCTAGAGCCCGAAAGCGAACGCCGAATCAATGAAGCCCTTTATTAATGACCCGAACCCTATTTCTTGCAGAACCATATAATCACAGCCGGCATTACAAAAAAGCAGCTCCAGCGCTTTCCAAAACCAAACGCGCCTACAACCTCTATACAACCCGATAATCAAACACAGAAAACTCCTATGGCAACTCCAGCTATCCTCAAGAATACACCTCAAAACAAGCCCGCACCGTATTGTACTTAAGGTCCCTACATGGTCCGACCTCCGCAAAGGCTAGGATCAAAAGGGCCACTACAAGGGAATGTTGGGATTTCGGCACCCGAACCTGCACCGACTGGAAGATGCCAAGCTGGCAGTCGTTCCTGCCGCTCACATCATCCGGCTCGGCCTGCGCTGTGTAAGGGGGACTCAAAAGAGGCTTCTTCAAGTTTGAAAGTTTCTAAACAAGGCTTCTTTCTTGTCCTGGAGAGATTGCATGGGCTTTCGTGAGCCATTGCGTGTGTGGGTGTGGAATATTGGGGTCTGGGGTTTTGTGTGCATTTGGGGATTTCAGTTTCAAGTTTCCGGGTTTGGGAGGTCGCTGCGGCATTGAGACGTTCTCAGAAATGGCGTCTCTCGCCCTCCTCATTGATAGCGTCATCCTCCCTAAATTCCCACCCGGCCCCCTTGGGC